TTATAAGATGAATGTTTTGCCTGAGATAAATTGCTAGAAAGTTTCCCAAATATATGAAGAAAATTTAACGTATATTAATTGGGCATTTGTTAATAACTAACCCCAAAAGTTTACACGTTTAAATGAGCCAAAATGTGCCAACATTGAAACCCCAACATAGAAACAATGCACTTGGGCCCCAGAAGTGGCTCCATACATGTGCATGTAAATCCTTGTTCAAAAACATCATTATGGCACAATTTCCGACATTAGGGGGAGATATAAAGGCATAAGCATAAATATATTATGGTTGGAATGTCGGAAAAATACCCCAGAAGGATTAAACGATATGAAAAGAGAAACGTGTAAAGTATGATAAGTAAACTGCCAAAGTGACTGAAATAAGTGATTGCAAAGTTTGAGCTCAATCAATGCATGAAGCATGGTTAGACGGTCATTATGAGTATATAAAATAAAACCGGTTTTTATTACAATAAGTCACTAATGCCCCTACAAGAGAATGATATAAGTTAAATGCTGCAGCTGATACGTATTAGAAACTACATGATACAGAACATAAGTTCCTCTTTTATGGCTCATATAGAGGACTTTGATTTGATGATACAGGAATCATATTGATTAAGATTGACGTCAATGATTTGTTATTCCGAAACTATCGATTCATAATCCATAATAATAAAGTCTGGCCAGACGAATTATGATGGACCTGTAGTCCTAAAATTTCGTGAATTATGATCGATGTTTATGGATGAGAAAATATTTTGGGCCTGAAGTCCCACAAATCAAGATATTGTGTAAGTGGGGTGCCAATATTTGATATTGAATGATTTTGAGATTACATTCCTGTTATAGTTTGAAGTTCTGTAAATGTGGCAGTTGATGAGAAAATTGGGTGTCATTGCTATAATATCAATTGTGTGTCCCTGAAGGACAATGGTGAAAAGAAATATGTGCACACAATATGCAACATGAATGTGAATTCTTTTGTTTCTATAATAATTAGATAGACATTATGCCTTTAATTATCGATTATTAAATCATAGACTTATCATTATTGTATTTGGAATTATTTTGAAAAGGAATTTGGAATTGATTGAATAACTGCAACAATTGGATATGCAGTAAAATTCTAAGCATAGTTGGAAACATAGAAAAAAGATGTTTGTGCCTAAACACAACCTGGGTGATCACATTACGTCTTGATGACATAATTTATTTTGTATAAGAACTATGCTAGATGATCTGGTGCAAATTATATTATATCATGGTTGAACAAGGTCTTTGCACCATGTCAAAGTATCACTTGTAGTGATTGCCTCCTGTAGAGGATCTAATGTGAACAATTTTCTTATTCGTTTTCACATGATTTCATGACTAGAATTTCAACAAATTTAAAGTGAGTTATATTCGTACTACTTCTCAACCTTTCCTGCAGAAAGAGTTGAATGAGGAACTTTATGCAATGAATTTGCAATTACTCATAAACCTTCTATTTGTTTACCTGAAGTAAACATGTATTATTATATGAACCAAATTGTATGAGTAAAGGTGTTGCAGGTCTTTAAGCATCTAGCCAAATCTAGAAACAACACATGAAAATCTTTTTATTTGAATGATGCTTGATTATATAATAAATAAAATATCTAGTCATTATATTGTGAACACTTGAAGTGTTCGTATATCAAATCCTAGGAGGATCAAAACATGCCCCTTTTAAATCTTTATAGACCGATATCTGAGAATGCTCAATTATTAAATGTTTGATGTGCATATGAACATTCACACTAAATTTGAAGGTCTTGAGATACTCATTTCAAAATCATGAGTTTAGACAATTACTTCTGTTTAGAAACTCTTGAAGAGTTTGGTAACTGATGTCCATCAGATCTGTATAAATAATGATGGAGGTTTTGTATACTAAAGATTGTCATTAGCTCAAATTATATGGAGTGGATTGAGGTGAAACAATTAATTGGTCCAGAAGACCATATGATGTCCCTTTTTCTTAGCCAAGTGTTTTCCCAAAGGATTTTCTTGGCCAAAGGTTTTAAGTTATTTTGTGGTTTTTAAAGAATGAGAAAGATTCATAACATCCGGAAGACTATTATCATCTAGAAGAGTGAAGCTAATATTAGTTCGGAAGATAATACCCTGAAGGTCTTAATTGGTCCTTGTGAGATCAAACAATTTATTGGTCCGGAAGACCATATGCAACTGTACTCTTTTTCCTTAACCAAGTTTTGTCCCATAGGGTTTTCTTGGTCAAAGGTTTTAACGAGGCAGTTTGTGACTTTGAAATAACATATCATGATACATAAAATTCAGAGTATTGTTTTTCTCTAGAAGAGTAAATTCAAATGCAATCCAGAAGATTAGGCCCTAAAGGCCAATGACTGTACTCTTTTCCTTTACTAAGTTTTTCCCGCATGTTTTTCTTAGTTAAAGGTTTTTAACGAGGCAGTCAATACAAAACATGGTTTTACATATATTATGTACTTTTTCCTTGATTGGTTTTTCCCCCAAAGGGGTTTTCCAACAAGGTTTTTAATGAGGCATACACATAGTAGAATTTTCGCTACAAGGAGTTGCCAGATTATATTGGATCCTACAGGAAGTCTTGAAGCGATGCAGTCAACAGGGGGAGTCTATACGCGCTGCACTCTTTTTCCCTTGATCAAGGTTTTGTCCCACTGGGTTTTCCTCGACAAGGTTTTTAATGAGGCATCATCATCAACGTATATAAAGAGAATAATGTTTCATATTTTATTTGCTTGTAATACTTTTATTTAACAATGTACATCCAAGGGGAAGTGTTATGTAATTATGGATGTCCATTAGTCTCCGACCCAAGTCCATATATCTGGCCCATGTAATAAGTGTAATCCCTAGATCCCCACTTGTATATATACGCTATATGTGTATGAATAAAGTGCTTGCAACTCAATCTATAACAACCTCAACATTATTACCAAGGAAGATAAAACCAAAACACATTTAATAATCTCAATGTAGTTTAACAGTAATATTTTATTCATTTGAAATACTCTCAATTTTCCATCAATATGTAAAAAAGAAAAAGGAATATGAGAAAAATATGTAAAAAACTTCACATATAAATTAATTTAAATACTCTATAGGATATATTTTTGCCGCTATGGTTTTCTTCTCTGCTATCGATTCTTTTGAGGAGTGCCCGTCTCCCTATAGTAGTTATGTAGTTTTTTGTTCCGCCGATCGAGCTTTGTTCGTGCGGCTGGGTTTTTCGTGGAATGAGAGCTTCGTAATTGGAGTTTTGGAACATGAGTGGAACGCAAGGGCGGTGTGGTGCAGCTTGGATTTTTTGGGCGAACAAACACAAGACAACATGATAGAGTTTTCTTTTGCACCCCGGACATGGATTTCAATGACAAATCTCAAGGAGTAAATTAACAAGAGCAAATTGGCGAGCGCATGAAGGATAGAGTTTCTGACGAATTTTCCGATTGTTGAAATTCTCTTCTACCATACTGCAACAGCTCGCCCTCCTCCGGAACCACCTCTGTGCGAGGAAGCAATTTGGGATAAGTTATTATTTTCGTATTATTTTTCATTTCGTAGTACTTATTTTTATCTCAGTTCGAGCAAATATGGTTAATGTTTTTTTGAAGAACTTTTAATAGACAATACTTCATTTTCGATCATTTTAGGCTTCTTCTTGCCCGTTTTGTGTATAACAATTTAAGCTGCTTTGTATGAGTGATTGATTCTAAGTCTATTCATAAGGCTTACGATCGGATCTAATTTTATCTTGCATGTTTGTCCTATATTAATGAAAAGTTGTTTTGATGATATAAAAGAAATTATAAAATAATTTAAGAGCCTGTTTGGTAGCACGAAAATCGACTGTTTTGGCTGATTCTGCTGAAATTTATGAAGTTCTGACTGAAGTGGCTGCATTGGCTGATTCTGCTGATTTAAGAAAAAAATATTTTTAAAATATATTTTATTAATAAAATAAAGAAAAATTTTATGTAAAAATTGCCAAAATGGTCATCTACAGTAACTTCAGCCAATACAGTTAGAAAAGTAACTCCAACCTTACTTTTTCTTCTTATTACACAATTCAACGCGTGAAAGCAAAAGTTACATGTTTGGTGAAAAAGTTGGCAGATAAGCCTTATAAGTTGAAAAACAATGTTGGCGACCTCTAAATAATATGGAGTACCGCACCCGTATTTGTTTTATTTACAGGAACATATGCATGTGCCACTTGTGAAGAGCGAGGATACGTCTTTGCACTTTTCTGTCGTTTGTGTTTGTTTTTTCATAAAGAAAAACTACATCGTCAAAAACGAAAATTTATGTTCCATAATATGCTTTTATGTAAGTCAAATTTGTTTTATGGACAATCATTTGTAATTTGTACTCCATTACTGAATCATCTTTTAAATGAGAATTGTGTAATAGAGAATAGAAAATTGTGCAATAGAGAATAGAAAATTGTGTAATAGAAAATTGTGTAGAGAAAAGAAAAATACGAAGTATGGAAAAATGTGTAATAAATATTACACCCATGTTACTTATATTATGTCATCTTTCCTTGTTTGGACGTCCAAAAAACTTTGTTACTTTTCTTTTAATTAATTAATTTATTGTTCTTTTTACTTATCTTTCATCAATACAAATTTTAACTACACAATTTTTATTTTATTAGTTTTCGTGTTAGTCAAATTTGGAACAATTTTTAGAGAAGAGGGAGACAAATTTTGACCGCGAATTATGTGCCAAATAGAGAAAAACGAGATTATTATGTGGGAATGAGTAGCATTTTTAGTAAATCTGCGCTTATCAATTGAGTCACATTAAAAACAGCAAATGCATATATTCGTTAAAATGTTGTTAAATTTCAGAAATCTCTACTTCCTCAACAGTTTCTTTAACGAAGAATTTAATGGGTTGCTGCCATCAATCAACTGTCTCTTTTCCTGTGTCGTAATTCTTTTTGAATTCGAATCTCTGTCACCGTTTGAACGTGAAACCTTTTCAAAATTAACCCATTTTCAAATTGCTTTTTTACAAAACACCACCTCCCTCATAATAACATTTATCCATTGTAATCTCCGACCGAAAATCTCTTATCCCTGTAAAAACACAGACACCATTATTTACTCCTACGAACTCTTCCCCGACAGTAAAGTACAACAACATATTGCCGACATTTCATTTGGATTTACCCCCACTTTTTACTGCGTAAAGGTATGGAATTCAAGAAACATGCGTTCTCCGGTCAGTTTTCCGGCCAGTTATCGCCGAGAAGGAAGTCTACCGGTTTCTGTTGGCTGTGGGCTCTGGCTACATTCTTCATGCTTGGAGTTGCTCTTCTCAACTTCTCATTCAAAGCTCCGTTTATGAATTCTGTGCTTCAGGGGCTTAGCAACAACGCCGCCGGGGAAAATCTTCGGGATTTCTCCGGTAAGAAGAAAGAAGGGCCATGGAAGAAAACCCGTGAGTTAAACCCGTCAGAGATTGGTAAAAACGTGAACTTTACCAAACAGGAGAAGAGTAGTGTCGGTTGGTTTTCTGGGAACGGTAAAAATGTGAGTTTTTCATCACTTGAAGGGCAAAATGGTAATCAGAGCAAAGGTCCAGTTTTGATAAAAGGAAGGAGTTTTCATGGTGATTGTGATATCTTTGATGGTGAATGGGTAAGAGATGATACAAAGCCGTATTACTTTCCTGGTTCTTGCCCTTATATTGATGTGGATTTTGACTGTCATCTCAACAAGAGGCCAGATGAAGGGTATGTCAAATGGAAATGGCAACCATATGCATGTGACATCCCAAGGTAATTAAAAATTTATTGACAGTTTGTTTAGAACTTGGTTGATGCATTTCACTGTTCCATTGCATTGTTTGGGTTGATGAAATTTGCCTTTAGAAATGTCTTGATCTTACTGTGATGTTTTTGTTTCTTATTCATAAATAAGTATGTTGTCTGCTTTACACTTGGGGTTTATGAGAGAAGTACATCAACACCGTATGAGAAGTATTTATTTGATGTCATTATTGTCCATGCATTTGGAACCATGTTGTATGTACATAAGGCCGTCTTCAACATGTTGGAGGCATTTTGCTAATAATAGAAAGTAGGCCTTAGCGAGTAAAATTATGCACATTTTTCATACACAAATATGTTTCAATCATTGTCATATGATGGCCATATTTTTCAAAATAAAACACTAAAATAGGATTTTCTTTTAAAAAGAGAGATTTTATATACTATGTAGAGTATTATTTTCAAAATTTTAGGCATTCTAGATTAAGATGCCATGTCCTATAACAGTTTTTGCCCGCCTTATTAGATGACCCTTTATGTACGTATTTCACGTATTGCTGTAAATATTGCCACCCATTCGAGATTAATCCATGCCCGACAGCCTCAAACTAAGAAGACCAATTGGCAGATCCAATAAGAATTGAACTTGCAACCTCACGGGTGTTAGTCCTACTACTTGACAAACTAGGCTCGGGCTAGCCCCTAGTTGTATGTATGTTCTCCTTAGTGTAGGGACTAACCTTGTAATGTTTGTTTGTTAGTAGTACTAACATGTATTAGAACATTGATCCAAGGTTATGAACAGATTGATGGATGTAGTCTAATAATTCTTCTGTGGTTCTATTCAGCCTCAATGCGACCGATTTTTTGGAGAGGATGAGGGGTCAGAAACTTGTATTTGTGGGTGACTCATTAAACAGAAATATGTGGGAATCTCTTGTATGCATCCTTCGCCAAGGTATTAGTGACAAGAACAGAGTTTTTGAGATATCAGGAAGGAGTGACTTCAAAAAGAAGGGGGTTTATGCATTCAGATTTGAGGTATTCAATACCTACTTAGTACTTATATAACAGTTACACATACAGCTGTTGTAATGGATCAAACTAGAAGCCATTACACAATGTTTAATAATGGTGTGCATATGATCAACCTGCTGCAGGATTTTAACTGTTCTGTGGACTTTGTTAGCTCTCCATTTCTTGTAAGAGAATCTTCTTTTGAAGGGGCAAGTGGTTCTTTTGAGACACTTAGGTTGGACTTAATGGACAGCACTACTTCTATGTATAATGATGCAGACATCATTATCTTTAATACTGGTCATTGGTGGACTCATGAGAAAACCTCTAGAGGGTTAGTTTTGTACTTGCTTCTTAAATAAATCCTGCTTGGATGTGGAGTACATACTTGTGGCTGGCATTTTGGTTCGGTTTGGCATAACCAAACTAATCCAAACTGAAGCCGAACCATATTCAATTCAGTTTTAGTTGGGTAATATATTTTATAAACTGCATCTACCTGAATCGAAGCTGAATGAAATAACCCAACAAAGCTTAGGATATCTACAGAAAATAATAAAACCAAACCCCAAAACAAACAAAAGAAACGTAGTTTGGTTTTAATTTGATAATGATTCCACAACCTATTTTAAAATGAACCAGACCAAAAAGTAAAACAAATAAAAGAAAGAACCTGAAATGCCCGCCCTTTTATATACTCGGGGTTTTATACTAGACCTTGTCTCTTGAAGTCCTCTTTTTCAAATCATGGAGCCATGCATTTTACTTGTTGAAATTAGTCATATCAATTAATGAAGACTTTTGCTTTTGGGGGTTATGCAGTGCAGACTACTACCAGGAAGGCAATCATGTGCACCCACAACTCAAGGTTCTTGAAGCATATAAGAGAGCGCTTTACACTTGGGCAAGGTGGGTGGATAAGAACATTGATGCAAGAAGAACTCAAGTTTTCTTTAGAGGATATTCGCTTACACATTTCCGGTATCACCTCTTCTCTTGCTTGTTAATCTTTAATCTTTAAATTAACTAAAGACTTAAGTTGATTTATCAACTATACATTTATTATTAGGAGTAATATTCGTTCTATTATAAAACTTCTACTACGTATATCATATAGAGTCCAATGCTTAACAATAAACTTGAACCTATCGTAGTTATAGATAGTATCATGCCTTCGCCAAGCGGCATCAATTGGTGTCGTCAAGAGGCAACCCTAGTTTTTGTGTTGTCAATGGTAGGCAACCGTTGCCGAATTATATTTGAAGAATATTGTTAACCCATATCCTATCCTCCATTGTGATTCTTTTTCCTATTATCTGGACTCATGTCCTAAATAAGCCCTTATATACTATGTTTATAAATCAATATAAGGAATATAGTTACTTGTTCATTCAATAATACAACTTCTACAATTTTCAGAGGAGGTCCATGGAACTCTGGGGGGCAATGCCATAACGAAACGGAACCATTTTTAAACAAAATGCATTTGGAGAAGTACCCTTCCAAGATGCAAGTTCTTGAGCAAGTGCTTCACGATATGAAAACACCTGTGGGATATATGAACATTAGTACGCTTACGGACTATAGGAAGGATGGTCACCCTTCCATTTATAGAACCAATAATCAAAGTTCTTTGCAAGCTCAAGATTGTAGCCATTGGTGCCTGCCCGGAGTGCCAGATACATGGAACGAGTTGTTGTACGTGTCTCTCTTAAAGAATGGGAGGGGATCATGGCGGAATCTAGACAACCAGAGTTATGTATCATGACTTTATACGCGGTTAAGAAGTGTTAAACCATCATATTGGTTAAGGAAAGAAGAGCTAGAGTTTATCATGTACACTTCATTTAGCGAAATTGTATACACCTATGACCTATCTTGAAGTTCATTTGTCAATCAAGAATGGGTGCAATGGCAGAATAGGTACAATGGCAGAGCTAAGGGGTGGTCTCAGCCCCCAATATTTTTGGGTGTACTTACATAATTATAAATACATATTATAGGTAAAAAAAAGTGCAAATATGAACATGTAGTGTCTATTTTTAATTTTCAACCTTTGGGTCGTCATAATACTAAATTTTTGACTCTGTCACTGAATAGGATATTCATTTAAAATAAAAACAAGCCTACACCGTATTACACCAAGAGTCATTTTGGTAAAAGTTTAATTTTCTGAAAGAAAAACATGGTAAAATCAATTTCAGGATAAGGTAAAGAAAAAACACTTACTCTGATTTGGTACACAATTGTACATATTAAAAGGCAGTTATATTAAGTTGTGAACCATGTGAACAGTAACTACGAAATCATTTTTTTGCTCGGAACCGGATTGTCTTTTGAGAGAATTCCCTGAAAAGAAGTAAAAAAGTTTTGAAATTCCGAAATAGGACTATCATGTTATTTATTCCCTGAATAAGAGTAAATTTCTGCCAAGTTTGACATTCGTAGGCGTTAAACTTGGCATTTTTTCCCAAATTTGGCAGAATTACTCCTATTTAGGGAATAAAAATATAAGTCCTATTTTAGAATTTGAAAACATTTTTACTCATATTTAGGACAATTTCTATTGTCTTTTTTTGGTTGGAGTGCCTAAGTGCCTTTAGATTGCAACAAAATATTTGCTCGTACGAGGAGGATTGAGACACAAAACTAGCTGTTAAGAGCATATTTTTATGAGTCTGTTGCATATTGGTTGTAGGGCACACATTCAAAGAATAGGAAACTTTGTACGAGAATATAGTATATTCCTTTACTTCGAGAGAGCAAATTGTGAGTTCCATAACAAACAAACAAAAACATTACCCCAGTGCTACAAAGGCTCCCAGCTACAGTGCGGTAAGAGGGGAGCGGATATACGCAATTTTACTCTTGCTCTTAAGTATAGAGAGATCGTTTCTGGATGACATAACACTTAAAATACATGTTTGTTTGATTATAAAGTCGTGAAACAAAATTGGTTGAAAATGCATGCACTAAACGGGTGTTTGGATTGAAATTAGCTAGTTGGCATGGTATGAAATTAGCTAGTTGACTCAGCATTCCATTAGCCAATCCAACCATATTAATGTGTTAATCTATGTGAATACTCAATTAACACTAAAAATATGAATTTATGTACTTCGAAATGTTAGATGCAATATAATGTACTCTTTACTCCATCTCATAGTCACATACAAATTAACATAGACCTTTCCACTTTCTTTTTTCATTTCAGAAGAGTTCTGAATCAGGTAATTGACTAATTATTCTCTCCGGATTTACATATCCCTATACATTTCCTTCTACTTTTTTTTATCCTCTTTAATGTTCTTCTCCGGATTTTATCCTCTTTTTTTTTTGTTTTTTTCTTAAAACTTAAAACCTGTCACTAGCTTAGAAGCTATTCTCTTCACCTCATCCGAATGTTTCTGATCTGAATTTTTTAAATTCTGATTTGATCTGATCTGAATGTTTCTGATCTGATCTGATCTGATCTGATCTGAATCTTTCTGGTCTGATCTGATCTGATCTGAATGTCCCTGATCTGATCAGAATGTTCCTGATCTGATCTGAATGTTCCTGATCTGATATGAATGTTCTTGATCTGATCTGAATGTTTCTGATCTGATCTGAATCCTTCTGATCTGATCTGAATCCTTCTGATCTGGTCTGATTTAAATATTTCTAAAATTATAATTATAATTTTAATTTTTATTATAATAATTAGAAATGTAATTACACATATATAATTTAAATATAATTATAATTACAATAATTATAATAGGTATAATTATTATTATATGTATTACACTAGTTATAAATATAGCTATAATTAGATGAAGCGGTCCAGCTCAGCTAGTCGCCGACTCACTCTCCCTTATGGGAGGTCTCGGGTTCGAAACTCAATGGGGTGAGTTTCAACCTAGTTTACTTCAGGCCCCCCAGACCCCCTCCCCCAGACGTCTCCTAGAGTAAACAAAAAAAAGCGACTATAATTATAATTGTAATTATATTTTTAGTTATAATAATTTCTATAATTATAATTGTAATTATAATTATAATATTTATTTCTATAATTTTAATTGTAATTACTCCGTGTAATATAATAATAACAAAAAAATACTAATAACAATAACAACAGCCATAATAGTAATAAGAATAATAATAATCATGATAATAATAAATACAATAATAATAATAATAATAATAATAATAATAATAATCATAGTAATAATTAGGGGTGGGCGCGGTCCGGAACGGTCCGGTAATTTAGCAAAACCCGTAATGTACCCGTTAGGTTTCTAACGGTTTGGTACGGTCCAGTTCTAAGGTTGGAACCATTCGGTGCCATGTCATTTCGGAACGGTACGAAACGGTTCAGTACAATGCCAAACACATGACGAAACATTTGGACAAATCTTGCAATTAGTATATATCATCATACCGGTTAATTCACATGAAATGTTGATAAAAATACAAGAAAGTGCATACTAAATACTAGAAAAGAATCAAGAGGTTGACGAGTTTTTTCCTAAATTAATGTTTATTAAATAAATATTTACCAAATTAAGGTTAGGTTAATAATAATTCCCGTACTACTGCTACCTTGGTTAAACAAACCCATACGACTTATCTAAACATACGGAGTAGGCCACAAATGTAGGAATCAAGATGGGTCCCTCATAATTATAAAACCCATTTTTTCTTTAAATGACTATAACTTTTTTATTTTTACTCTATTTTGTATAAAAAATATATCACAATTCATAATTTTTTATGAGCTTTCATTTGACACCAATATTGCATATGTATTTTTTTTTTAAAAAAATGAAGAGTATATGGAGCCCGTTTGGGAACTCTTTTTTCCGACTTATCAGTCTCATCAACCAACTTTTTTATCAAACACGAAACTTTTGATTTTGTGTGCTTATTGTGTAATAATAATCAAAATAACTATGGTTGAAATTACTTATCAAACTGCATTGGTTGAAGTTACTGTACATGTATTGATGTATATTTTAACTATTTTTATTCATTTTATTAATAGAAAATAGTTTGAGTTTTTCCCGAACTAATGCTAATTGAATAAATAATTAAGAAAATAAGGTGTGGTTATTAATTACCATGCCAAATTTAGATTTTTTTCTTCGGGTTTTTAGCTTCAGATTTGAGATTAAATAAGACACTCTCAGGTCGTTTGTTAAATCTCAAAGTGACCGAATTGACTGGTTATGTTAAAATTTATGAAGTTCAGGTGAAATGACTGTATTGCTTGAATTGGCTAATTCATTAAATTTATTCATAGAAGGGGTTTTGTGCATGATTAATTAAAATACAGGGGGTCTGACGTATTTTCCAAATCATATGGGGCTAATGTGTTGGATTTCTATATCACGAGGGTGTTTGGTGCATTAAACCCGAGCACCAATAGACGTAGCAATCAAGTGCATAAAACCATTTTTCTTTAAATAGATATAACTTTTTTAATTTTTGCTCTATATTGTATAAAAAATATATCACAATTCATAATTCTTTATGGGCTTTCATTTGACACCAATATTGCATATGTCAATTTTTTACAAAAAATGAAGAGCATATGGAGCCCATTTGAGGACTCTTTTTTTCGACTTATCAATCTTATCAATCAACCTTTTCACCAAACACTGAACTTTTGATTTTGCGTGCTTATTGTGTAATATTCAAAATAAGTGAAGTTGAAATTACTTTTCTGGCTGCATTGACTGAAATTACAATTTAGCTATTTTTATCCATTTTATTAATAGAAATTATAACGTAGTATAAGTATAAAATTTAATGAATAAGCCAATTCAACCAATAGAGTCATTTCACCTGAACTTCATAAATTTTAACAGAATCAGTCAATTCATTCACTTTGAGATTTACCAAACGACCTCAGGGTCTCTTATTTAATCCCAAATCTGAAGATAAAAACCCGAAGAAAAAATCTAAATTTGGCGTGATAATTATTAACCCAACTTTATTTTCTTAATTATTTATTCAATTAGCATTAGTTCGGGAAAAACTCAAAATATTTTCTATTAATAAATGAATAAAAATAGTTAAAATATACATCAATACATGTACAGTAACTTCAACCAATGCAGTTTGATAAGTAATTTCAACCTTACTTGTTTTGATTATTACACAATAAGCACACAAAATCAAAAGTTTTGTGTTTGGTAAAAAAGTTGGTTGATGAGACTGATAAGTCGGAAAAAAGAGTTCCCAAACGGGCTCCATATACTCTTCATTTTTAAAAAAAATTACATATGCAATATTGGTGTCAAATGAAAGCTCATAAAAAATTATGAATTGTGATATATTTTTTATACAAAATAGAGTAAAAAATAAAAAAGTTAGTCATTTAAAGAAAAAATGGGTTTTATAATTATGAGGGACCCATCTTGATTCCTACATCTGTGGCCTACTCCGTATGTTTAGAAAAGTCGTATGGCCGTATGGGTTTGTTTAACCAAGGTAGGAGTAGTATGGGAATTATTATTAACCCAACCTTAATTTGGTAAATATTTATTTAATTAACATTAATTTAGGAAAAAACTCGAGGTTGACATTGTTGTACTACGCATTTAAATTCGCAAATACTCAAATAGTGCAACACAATTAAGTAAAAATATAGCAAAACAATGATGCACTAGTATAATATCATCTTTATTAAATTCATGTGAAAATATAAAAGGAATATCATTATATTGTTAAAAATAGTAGAAAATTTTAAAAAATTTCTTCTTTGTTCTAAGTTGGATATTGGTTTTAGTTTAATTCATACTTCAACCGTTAGAGTTAAGATTCAGACCATACTACTTAAGTTGTAAAACTACACAAATATGATACAACAAAACGTCATATATTCTACATCACTATAAATTAATAGTCATTAATGATTTTTAAAATTTTAGCATTCTTTCATTATATATATACCAAATATAACATAAATTATCTAAAAGGAAAAAATAATAATATTTATGTTACACACACATGTA